CCCCCGCGCCCGCCCTCACCCTCCCCTTCGCTATCGGACGCGGCCGCGATCGCCGCCGCCGCCGCCGCCGCGACCTCCGCGGCGCTCATCCCCCCAAACGCCGCCCCCGACCGTCCGCCTCCCGCCGCTGAGTCAGCAGCACCATCCCCTGCCCCCTCAATCGCCGCCGCCGCCGCCGCCTCCTCCTCCGCCACCTCCTCTTCTGCCGCCCGCAGTATCGCCGCCTCGAGCGCAGCCTGCGCGGCGGCACGCTGCCGCGCCGCCTCCGCCTCTCCCCTGGGCCCCTCCGCGCCGCCGCCGCCGCCGCCGCCCTCGTCGTCGCTGCCGCCGCCGCTGCTGCTGGGGGCGACCACGTATGCCGCGACCCACGATGGCACATCGCCGCCGTCGCCGCCCTCGAGGCCCGCCCAGTCATCCCCGTCCGGGCCCCCGCCGCCGCCGCCGTCGCCACTGCCTCCGCCGCCGCTGCCGCCGCCACCAAGAAGCGGCCCAGGCACCGAATCGGGGTACCAATCGCTGCCGCCGCCCGCCGCGCCGCCGCCGCTGCCGTCGTCACCGCCCGGGCAGGTGTCGGCCGGCGCCGCGGTCGTGTTTGACAGATCCACGCTCGACCCGTAATCGATCCGAGGAAACTCGCTGGTCGTCTCGACCTCCACACCAAGGTCGCTCGGCGGCGGCGGGGTGCGATCCCGATGTGGCGGCGCTGGCGGGGGCTGCGCTGCTTCGGCCGCTGCCGCCGCCGCCGCCGCGACGGCCGGGCCCCATAAGTCGGAGGCCGCGCCGGGCGGCTCCGCGCTTGCTGCCGCCGCCGCGCCCACGCCCGCGCCTGCGCCCGGAGCCAGCCCCGCGTCCGCTGCGTTTGAGGGCGCCGCCTCCGCCTCTGGGGCCGTTGCCGGGGCTGGGGCGGAGTCGGCGGCATCGCTCGCCGGCGCCGCCATGCGGCGGACGACCCCGGGCTCCCGCAGATCTGGATCGTCGCAGATCAGCACCAGGCCGCAGAACCCTGGGCGCATGAGTGTGTCCAGGCAGCCGCAGTGTGTGAGGCGAGCGGCTGTGGGAAAAGGGGAAGAGGGAAGCTACGGCAAGGTTTTTTTAAGCGCTGGCGAGCACCCTGCCATCCTATATGCGCTGTGCCTCCCGCATATGTTGAACTGCACAAACATGTCTTTTGCACGGCCGCACCGTCCCAAGGGGGCTCTGCAGCAGCCTTGCGGGCTTCGTGTGCGGCAATGTCGGCGTCTGCCGCTTCGATGATCGCCGTCGCGTGCTTGCTGAGGTCGGTGAGCATCACTGCACGCGTATATGCGATTCAATTATGCTGTCTGAGTCATGGCTGACGATTTTAGGCTATAAAGTATGACAGGAGATCGTTGAGCTGGCGCTGATCTGTGAGATGCAACGTGTCCGTGGTGTTTTGCCGTGTTTCATCCCATCTTAAGGCCGTCGTGCACGCTGCTGAGCAGGCGTGTTCTTGGGTGTTTCGGCCGTGTGGTTTTGGTCGATGACGCATGTGGGATTGCTGCTCGTGCTCCTCTCATTATGATACCACTATGGTCGCCCCACGCAGGTACCACACAATAGCAGCTCCCAGCAGTAAGCATGAGGACAAATAACAAAGGGTTTCTACCCAACTGCCGTGTGCAATCGCATGTCGTTTGCATAGGCGTTGGCCGCTTGACTCACACGGTCAACATTTCAACTCAGCGGTCAACATTTCAACCCGCGAGCGTGAATGAAGCGGCCCTTAGCCTAGGCAGGTTGTACTATGCTGAATTTCATGTGCAAAAGGCGGTCGCTCAGGCCCAGGCCTTGTTCTATGTCTGAAACTGCACTCGGGCTGGTCGTTGTAGGCACCCCTCGTGGGAGCAGGCCAGCCAGCTGGCAAGTGGGACGGGCTTTGAGGCTGGGCAGTAGCAGGCTGTACTGTAATGTTGGACTGAATTGGTCAGGGTGATGAGGCTCAACCTGCTGTGGGTGTCGGGGTCAATACAAGTTTGCTTACTGTTGCAGAAAGCCCACTCTGGGCCCAGCACAGCAGGAGGGTGGGCAGACACGCTCACTGACCTGCAATGTCAAAATACTTGGTTCAATGCAAGCCCAAGCAAATTGAAGGGTTTCAGACGCTCAATTATAATGCATCACAGCAAGGCAGAATTGGACACGCACAAGTATGCCTGCCCGAAATACCAGTACGCTAAATACCCATGCGCGATACCTGTCGTCAGTCGAGTTCTCAAGCGCTCACTTGGCATCCGCCCCGCCGCCCCCTGCGCCTGCTGGGTACGGCGGCAGCCCCCAATCTTCCGGCACGAACGCCTCCAGGCTCCCCAGCACGGCCGTGGCCCCAGAAATATCCGAAATATCCAGGTTTGGGTCCGGCACCAGCACCACGGGCATGCCGGC